CATTGATGGCCGGCAGGCTTCATCAATGGTATGCAGGGATAAATGCATCGCCGGCAGTGCCAAACAGTGGCCGGCAGTGCATCATGATAAGCATGATGAAAGGACCAACACATGGTCTAAAAAATGGGGCATAAAGGATACAGGGTTTGGAAAGCTTAAACCTGTGACGTTCCGCCGCGAAATTTGAGTACTTGATGAGCAATCGAACTTGTCCCTAGATGTACCTGCAAGCATATCCAAGCCTTGAAAACGGTCAAAAATGGGGTGTTTACAATATTAAACTCATGGTTTGACAAGTATACATCAAGGAGTTGATTGATCAGTCAAATACAAGAGTGTTATTCTTCGGTGGAATTCGGAAAGTCAAGCATGGAGTATTCGAAGGAATTCAAAACTATACGTGGTCGTTGATTCGACATAGATGTTGTAGATTCGACATTAAGCTGATCAATTCTGAGACGAAGGCGGTAGTGAAAGAGATACAGAATGTTGAAGACAAATTGACAGAGTTTTGGTAATTTGTTTAGTAAATTTGTATTCTTTCTTTCTTGCATAGTGGATTGATTAGTGACGTTTCACCTGTGGTTTTTTTAAAAAAAATTGGAGGGACTCCAATTGTGATTTTTTCACGTAAAAATCGGTTGTGTCGATTTATAATGTTTGAAGCAACAATCTAAATCACTATCGTACATGCTAGATGATTAAGATTGTTAGTTTGAATTATTTCGGAATTATTGAAATTAATTCTGGTCCAAATCACGAATCACTTAGGTTTTTCAATTGGTATCAAAGCAGGTCACTCTTTGTTTTTATCAAAACTATAGAAGTATGATTTTGTGTGATTTGTGATATGGATTTAATTCGTGAAGGTAACTCGACCCATAGACTTCCATTACTTGATGGTACAAACTATTCTTATTGGAAAACTCGTATGAATGCGGTTTTACACAAGTAAAGATTACTACAATGTGAAGAAAAACATGAATAGTTGAACTTATATGTGAATTTGATTGCGGCACAATAGCTCTCTGTTTTGATAAGGTTTTTCTTGGTGATACCATTACTATATGTATATCATTGTTGGAGCATTTTGCTCAATTCTCAAAATTAAAACTAGAATCTATGGCCTCAATTGGCAAAAATCATAGAATTCACCAATAAAAGGAGAATGCATATATCTGAAAAACAGTCTACAACATATTCTGGACAATATGATATGGGACTGGATTGTCTCCAGGTGGGCATCCCAATTGGACTGTCCAGTCTGGCCTATTTTGATTCTGTCTCGATAATGCAAACCGTTTAATGTGTAGAGCATGTCGAGCAATTCATCCTTACAAAAAATCACGTTGATTGGATATTGATAGCCATTTGATCAGATAATATTTATGTCAACAATTTTTTAAAAAATCATATTTACTGTTGACAAAAATGTGAACTGATCAAGTGGCTATCGATATTCGATCAATGTGATTTTTTATAGTGATGAAGTACTAGTTGTATACATTAAACAATTCAGATTATTAGTTTGGGCTCTATGGTGTGCCCACGGAGGCCTAACAGTACTGTCCAGCAATTGGACTGGAGGCAATCCTAGGCCACGTGGGACAAGGTTTTCCTCCAACCCATTATGTAGAAACTCCTACAACTCAATGCATGTGGCAACTTATTATTGGCTACTTTTATATAATTCAAAAATCTACTAATTCATATTTAATTGGATAAAAACTCTACTCAAATTCCAGGAAATGAATCGTATGTGTTTTCAAGTAATTTTTGTTTTCTTACAATCAAATTTCTATCTAAATATATATTTCTTCAACTTTTCGAACCAACTCCATTGTAATTGCGTCTCTATTAAAACAAATCTAATCTTCAATTTGTGTTTCTTTTATAATTAAATCCATTGTACTTGGTTTTATAATCTAAAAACAATGAAAAGTTTGAGAGAAAAGAAACACACTAAGAAAGTATACTAAGAAGAGTATAATAATGTGTTTGGTGGAGCCTTAGAAATGTTATTCCAATTTTTGGTTTGAACGCTGTGTTTGGTTTGAGTTTTGGAAACATGATTCCACACCTACTTTTGAAAACTCCTTTATGGCGGAAAAATTTGGCTAACCCGGACGTCTGGCCAGTTAACCGGAACAATGTTCGGGTTTTAACGCTACCTAAATTTTAATCAAAACATTAATAGATTGTTAGTATAACCTAAAGCTTTTGTTTATGGGCAAAGAATTCACCACGCTAGTTTTTCAAGACTAAGACCAAGCAACACGCAAATATTGTTGTCATATTTCACTGGTTATACATAAACAAAGCGATGAACATATTCAATCAAAGAATATGTTAGGATATGTTTTAGAGACCAAGATTGAGTTCTTTTGAAAAAAGTTTTAGATGGAATTTTAATTTTAAAAGATATACAAGTTACCTAAAAATATATAGATTCTTTTCTTAAAATTTAACATTGACTGCATAATTTGCATGAAATTTGCTACTCAATTGAACATTGATCAGATGAGTTTGAATTGGGCAAAAAGTGGTCAATTATAAGTTGTCACATCTGTTATGTTGTAGGTGTTCTTACGTAACGGGTTGGAGGAAAACCTTCTTCACAGGGACAAAATCATTAAACCCCATCAACAACATATATGGCATAATTGTGAGTAGAAGTCACAAGCTTTTGTACACAACTGGATTTAGTGTGAGAATTAAGCAAAATAGATTGCCTGGTCACGTTTGGCAACTGAAAATTTTAATCAAATTATTAAAATGTAAATATATTCTTGGTACTTTTTTTTTTTACATGTTTGTAAGTACAAAAATTAAAAAGTCATTAAAAAAATTAATTTCCAAATGAGTCCGAGTGTAAATTTAAAATTAGGGGTTGTTTGCGGTGTCCTAAATAAATGCATTTTTTATTTTTTTGGACTAAAAAGTTGAGGAAAAAAATATGAATATTTGGGTTAACTTTTTGTTTTTTTACGAAAAAATGTGTAATAAAAAATTGTATAAATAAAGTGTATAGGGGAAGAAAGTTGAGTAGGTTGTACGGTTGTCCTGCTGGGCAACATGTCTTACACAGCAAATTATTGCCTTATTCGGGACAAAGTGTTTGGACAATGATGGTCGGTCCGTGGGGGCACTACGGGTCCCATTTTAATAATCTGAACCGTTCAATATGTACAACTCGTCGAGTATTATATGTCTGTAAAAAATCACGTTGATTGGATATCGATAGTTACATGATCGGATTAGTTTTTTTTCAATAGTTAACTATCACACCATCCGTTTGGTTTATACAAAACTGATTTGATCATATGGTTAACAATATCCGAACAATGTGATTTTTTACAAGCATATAGTACTCGATGAGTTGTACATATTGAACGGTTTAGATTATCAAACGGGAACCCTTAGTGGGCCCCTAAGGGTCCAACATTACCATCAATTTTGTGGCTTTACATATGTATTTTTTTTTTCCCCAAAAATTGTATGACTTGCCTTCCTACTGGGGCAGTACGGCTGACAGTGTAATTCAAACTTTTGTATTTAAAAAATGTATAAAATATTTTTTTAATATTTTTTATTTGTGAGTAATAATGACTTTTTTGCTTTTTGTGTAACTTTTTGGTTTTTTAGATTTTTTGGGACTTGCCAAACCTGGCCTTAGGGGTTGTTTGGGGTGTTCTAAATAAATGTACTTTTTGTCTTTTTGGACTAAAAAGTTAAGGAAAAAAATATGGATGTTTGGGTTAACGTTTTGTCTTTTTACAAAAAAATGTGTAATAAAAAATTGTATAAATAAGTGTATAGGAGAAGTAAGTAATAGGCTGTACAGCACCTTTTTCTAGGCAGAGTGTAGGAGATAAGGACATGATTGCCTCTTTCGCGGGCAACCATTTGAACTGTGTTGTTCGGCCCGTGGGGCCCATCACGAGTCCCATTTTGATAATCCAAACCATTCAATATGTAAAACTTGTCGCGTACTCTATGCTTGTAAAAAATCACATTGATCGGATATCGAAATCACATTGATCAGATTAGTTTTTGTTGACCAGTTAACTATAACACCATCCTTTTTTTTTTATACAAAACTGATTTGATCATATAGTTAGCGATATTCGATTAACGCGATTTTTTACAGACATATAGTACTCAACGAGTTCTACATATTGAACAGTTCAGATTATCAAAATGTGACCCGTGGTGGCCCCCACGGGCCGAATAGCACAGTCTAAATGGTTGCCCGCGAAGGAGGCAATCATTTCTAGACCAGTACAGCAGACCAATCACGCGGACAACCTATCACTTCAGCAAAAAGTTGAGTTGTATTTTTTTATGTGTAAATTTATTTTTTTTGTATTTTTTTTTGTGAATAGTGATATTTTTTAGCTTTTTAAGTAATTTTTTTAACTTTTTATCTTTTTCAAGACATGTCAAACCAGGCCTTAGTTGTGCATGATTCCTCTATCTTTGTTGTGCATGATTCCTCTATTTATCTCTCAATAAGTTGCCACTAATCCGCTAAAGCACTGGTCTATTAATTATCATTGCCAATTATGATTGCTGATTTTAATTTTGGAATCATCCGTTTTCCATATGATATTTTTACCTCAAAAAATTATGAATCTCATATTTATCTGAGGTATTTAGTCATTTATATAAAATTATAAACTTTATATTCATATAAGATATTTGGTCATTGATTTAGTAAAAAATTTGAAACTTATACCATTTTTCATTTGTTATTATTTTTATTTTGGAAAATGTTATATGTCTCAAATTTTCTATCAAACAAATGATTAAATGTCTCATATAGATGTGAAGTTGTCACGACCCAAACCTGCCCCTATAAGTTTAGCGTCGTAATCGGTCAGTAATCCGTGATTACCAAAGGCCTACTTAACAATAATGACAATAACACAATAAAAGGGGGCGGGTGGAAGCCAATTCAATAATAGAAAATAACGTCCAACGAGCTGTGAGGACTTAAATGTACAAACTCACATTCAAATATTTATGTATGCACAAACACTTAGGTCCATAAACACTTATATACAAAATGAAACACAAGTTGGGGAATTAAATCATGTAATCAAAACAGTTCAAACAAAAGTCATAGACCACTCTTGCCATTAGACCGATTTTTAAAGGGTGAATCTGAACCACCCAAAAAGACTTGACACGTATTGGCTTGGAACCTCGTGGTGAGGCGCAATAGTTGGCTTGACAAAAAAGAGAGTTCAGGTCGGCGCCACTAACTCTGATCCGGTGCCCGATCACCTACTTACATATATTCAACAGTGAGCTAGAACTTAGTGAATAATCTCAATGTAAAGATTCACAGCTTATATAAGCAAAACAATGTTCAAAATATTTTTCGGATACTTGTACTAATGAATAAAGTTCCATAAACCTTCAATAAACTTTCCATAGATCGACACATAGCGCAGTACGTTGTCAAAAGCGTTCCTAGACCTTTAGCAAAATACTATACAAAATGTTCATGACGAAACAAAGTATTTATGAAACATATACATTCAAAAGTCAAAAAGTTCTTCATACCATTCAATGTCACTTTCATTTTGTGATGTGATCCAATAGTATTGGTTAAGCAAATTAGCAGAACGTCCACAATGGAACAAGAACATAGGCATAACGATCGCAACGGATCGACATATAGATAACGATCGTAACGGGATCGACTTAGACATAAAACTGCAACAGGTCGACATAGACATAACGACTACTAGGGATCGACATAAACATAACAGAAGTTTTCGATAATCACAACACATGTTCATGGTGTCACATTCGTTGATCAAATAGGAAGGCTCATCATTCTTATCAAACATAACTTTTCAGGAAACTTGTCATACAAAACGTTTACAACGGTCCATTAACTTATACAGAACGTTATTTACGGATCATAGACAAAACAGTGGTTACTGAATGATCAATACATATTTTCTTATTAGTTGTTCAAAGGGAACTCATTTACTCCTTAGCAAATTTCCCTTTCAGGAAACAAATTACATTGTACACAATTTGGTATGTCAAAGCATAACTTTTAGTTTTAAAAGACGTATTTATAAACTTCATCACATTTCATAATTCTTCGTCTAGCAAAACTAATTCCAAAGTAATTCATACAAACATACCGTTACAAAGAGATTACTCACCTCGAGTAGGTTGGTGTCCTTACACAACGTTCAAACCTACATATCATATATACCAAACACATTGGAACACATTGTTCTAATCACATACTTTATCTTCTCATTCTAATTCTAATTCAATTATACATGTTGTTTCCTTACATATCAGTACCTTAATGAGTCATAATTCATGCTTAGAAATACTCAGAAGAAGGCAGAAGCAAAGATGTAAACACAGAACAACATGTCAAAATATGCTGAAAAGGCTTGGCCGCTCGAGCGGACAGTGTGGAAAATGTGAACTCAATTATTTCAATTCTTCAATTTTATGCTCATATGAATTCTTAACATTAATTTACACCCAAAAAAACTCTCAATTAAATATGATTTGCTATAAATTTATATTATGCATGTCATATTTATGAACCACTTTATTCAAATCCAACCATACAAACTCATGTAGGTGTCCTACTTCAATTTACATCACATCACATTCTTAATCATGCATGATTCTTTCTCAATAAAGCTTATTTTCAAGAAGATATGAATGTAGATGTCTTAAATTCAAGAATGTAAGAAATTCCTATCTTAACTTGCTAAATTATGAAGCTTTAAGCTTATTCTTCAATGTCTTCCTTAAGCTCTCTAAAAAAACAACCTCTCTTCCTCAAGTTATATCTCTCTCTCTTTACAAAGGCCACTAATTCTCTCATATTTTGAGCTCAAGAATATGAGCTATTATATATATAGGCTCAATCAATTTATTTACTTAGTCAAAGCTTAAGTTAAATAATTATAACTTAAGTTAATTGAATTTAATCTACTTATTTTGATCTGAATCATTTTTTTAATTAAATTTCACGATAAACTCTAAAAATTACACTAATCACATTAAAGTAATTAATTTCGGTTTCTATCGCCTTTATGGTCCTTAATTTACAACAATCCATTTCAAATTACTTCATTCCTTCCTAATTTCTGGGTTTTTCCAAAACTAGGTTCAAGCTTCAAAAATGGAGTTTGCCATGCATTAATCCATGAAAACAGTTCCATAAATTTGTAAACACTTTAGGAAATTCAAATACATAATTAATCTCAAGTCTCTTGCATAAATCTCATGATTCTTTCATAAATGGGTCTCAAATGTTCATGCATTCAAAGATTAGCTTCAAACTCACAACAATGGCTTTCAAAACATGAGATTAGACTTCAAAACTCTTTAAATCAAGAATACATGTAAGAGTAAACTTTGAAATTCAACATAGATTACATATTCATGCTCACAAATGGTGATTCAACACACACATATATATACAAAACTTCCATATTCATCATCTTCAAGCTAGTTCATGCAATTACTCCCAAAATCCCTTTAATTCCATGGATTAGATGATACAAAATGCAAAGATAAATACATACCAAGAGTTTAATTATGGATTAGGAGATGAATCTCCATAGCTCTCTTCTTCTTCCACCTAAGCTTCTCTCTCTCCCTCTCTCTTTCTCTCACTACACTAAATTATACATACAAATTTGGTTACTCAATACACCCACCAAATTGCTCAGCACACACACACTTACACAGATTTCTCTGCACACACTCAGATTCTCAACACACCCACCAGAAAATAATCTCCTACACTCAACATCATTAAATGTCCTAATATATACCACACTTAATTAAATCTTGAATTATAAATATGATACTTCTACTTTTATTTTATTTTATTCACTAATTAATTTGTGTAATACTTTAATTAATTCCTAATTTTTCTTTAAGTTAAATTAAATTATATCCACTCAAATTAAATTACTCCTCATCAAATTATGATCTCAATTATACTAAATTTAATTATATAAGTGTGAATTAGGCTCTAATTGCCTATCCAATAATTTAATTCTAGCATGTTAAAATTTACAAATCAGATATGTTTATTTCTCATTTTAACCTATCTGTTATCAATAACACAATTCAATAAATAACATAACAATCAATAACACTTAATAATACATAATCGCATAATTAAAATTAAGCACGTAATCAATATATAATTAATTTACTTAATTAAGGTGGTGGTTGTCACACGAGTCCACAAAGTCTCACATAGGTGTGGAGTTCATTTTTTTTTATAAACTCTATACACATTGTACGGGGAGGAAATAATTCTCCTCGTATAATCCTGTTGACCAAGTCCACGCTCCTCCGTACGACGTCGCTTTGTCACCTGAAAACACAAACGTGAGCTAGCCGGCGGGTGTGTGCCGGAAACCTCTCCGATGCCTAAGTCAGCAAACTTGACAAATAGACAAAGCTCCAATGTATTCAGAAGATTATGTTCAATTAATCTCACATGAACTACCCTGGTCAATCAGAATCCGCTTGACGTCAAAATCCTTGACTCGGAGAGTGACAACCAGGGCATCATTATGGGGACAGTAAATTCGTTCCAAGTCCTTATCCGAAAAGGACATAACATTTGTTGCCTCTGTCTTCCCCTTCTTGATTGTAACCAAAATCCCACAATCATTTTAATTCCATTATCCTTTTACACCCTCCCCCACTGCTTAAACCAAGTGGGATGGTTTTCTTTATGGCCGAACTTCCATTTGACCGAAGTAAAATTGGCTATACCGAGCCACAGAGGGCCGAACTATCCTTAGCTCGGTCTTCTCCTCCAACTCTTTACTTCGGCTGCCCTGTTCAACCTTGATGTGCTTAGTTCAAACTTCCAAGTAACAAGTTCTGACCGACCTAACCATTGTAAGTCACGACCGGACTAATTCCGACACCGGCCTTCCCAGAACATACTGCGACCGGACTAACTGAGACCGGCCCAACTGTGAGTTGCCTCCCGACCGGAGTAGTTTTACTCTTCCTTGGACCGAAGTAACTATCTCTTCTTGAGCCGGAGTAATCTCACCTCCTTGGGCCGGAGTGAGTTAACATCTCCTCAGAACCGGAATCAATCTATCGTTCTTGACCGGAGTAACTCTAACAGCTTGAGCCGGAGTGCCTTTAATCTCTCCTGGGCCGGAATACCCTTTACGGCCTTTTTTACTCAGTCCTTCGCGTTTTGGGCCTCAAAGCCCAACTCGCAGCTCGGCCCAATTTTTTCCAAAAATTACCCTCTCACACATATAAGATATTTAATAATTCATTTAGTAAAAAAATTTAATATCTCTAATCTTCCTCTTTTTCTTTGGATTCTAAACGTAACGCTATTAATGGGTAAAATCAGTATTTTAAAAAGCGTGCTTAGGAGTTTACTTTAATTTACTCTAAATATAATTATTTGATTAATTTATTACATAAATAATCTCATTAAAAGATTACCAAGCAAACCAATGTCATGGTAAAAGCCTATTGAAGCTCACTGACACAACCAATTGGAGAGGAGGATAGAAAGTCGTCCGTTAAGATATTTCGTTGAATATACGTGTGGCCTTCATGGAGTTTGATGCAGGTGCGATGTTCCAACACCAAAGTGCAAAAGTACTGTCGAACACATCAACAACATAAACCCTTCCTCGAGTTAGAGATTCGAGTACTGAGGAGGAGTGAAGATCATCATCGTCTCGGTTCTTCTTTAACAACGTTTCTCGTACAAAAAAGTGTAATTTTCATTGAAGAACTGCCAAAGAAAATGTCTAATGACTGCTTTCAAGGTCTCTCTCTACCTCTATATATGTATGCTTGCTTGTGTATGTGTATTCACTAAACCCTAAATTTCATGTAAATTAGGTTCAGATTTGATTTTATATTCGTATTTTTATTTAAAAATTTGTTATTTTTTTTGTTTTGTTGTTTGTTATGCGTGTGTGTATGCACATAAACTCTAAATTTCATGTAGCGATGAATTAGGTTGAGATTTGAGTTCAAAAAATTAGGTTGAAATTATTTTTGAAAGTTGAGTTTATTGTGGTATTCTTATGATGAGTTTGAATTATGTAACCAAAATTGTTAATTGAAAATGTGCGTTTTTCTTTTATTTTCTGACCCGATTTTTTGATTTCCTCAATTTCTCAATTCATAGTAGTTGCTAGTATTGGCAATCTAGATGGTTGTGAAAACATTGATAAAGTTATAGATGTTTGGGAGCTAAAGGGATGAAAAATGAAGGATAAAACAGTACTTTATGGGCATATTTGATTGACAGGAGCAGAGCATGGATTGGAATTATTAATCTGAGGTTCAATAATCCTGTGTTTGTTTTGAAATTTTGTTTTAGGACTATTAATCCAATGGATAATTAATCTAATAAATTTGTAGGATTATTAGTAAGTGGTACTTACGTCTAGGTCCTAATAAGTAGACTTATTGTTTCATAGGTCCTATGGAAAAAATTTGTCATTAAAAAAGTTACTAATTGTGAGTTTTAACGACAATTTATAAAAATCATGACAAAAAAAATCATTAATTGTCAATTTTTAACGATGTATGTAAAAAATTGTCACAAAAAATTATTTTTAGCGACAATTTTACAAAGACTTATTTTCAATAGGACTTAATGGGAATTAAATCTACTTATTAGGACCTATTGGTAGTTTACCATTGACTAAAAATTAAAACACTTGCTATTTTTATATAATTTTATATTTTAGAAGGCTAAAAATAATTTTTAAAAATTTAAAAATATTTTTTGATATTTATTTTATCAAATTTGTTTATATTTAAAAAGAAAATTTTAAAAAAAAACCAAACATGACCTCTGTATTTTGTATTTTTATTTTGCTTTTATTTATTTATTTATAATTTTTTTTGAAAACCACGTTTATGAAGAAATTTTGATAAAGTAAGATTGTGAAGAAATATTGATGGAGGGTAGGTAAGATTGGAAAAGAAGATAAATATAGTTGTAATCCTATATTCATATGTTTTCTTATCCAATGCAAATCAAACAATGGATAAGGAGTTAATTTATCCTACTAATCCAACTAGATAGTGAATACCATACTAATTTGATGAGATTATTAATAGCTTTACTATTAGTCTTATGAATCAAACATGGCCTATAAGACTTGACTGCATCGTTTTGCACCTGGTTGGTTTAGGGCACACTCGAATGCATTAGCTATGGACAGTTGCTCCAACTTCATCAAAGCATGAAACATGGGGTAAAATCTTTTGACAGGTCGTTTTAGGAGAGTTTAAGCTGAGTATCCGTACTGAGGGAATGCAACCCAGCCCTATGGTGCTCCCTATGGGACGAAACAAGGAATAACATATTAATCGAAACTAAAAATCTTGAACAATGATAGGTGCCAATAGCAAATATTATAAAAAAATATTGATGTCAATTTTGAACAGTGAAGATATCAATTGCAAATCATGAAGATATGCTACAAAGAAAAATGTGTTTTTGCTTTATCAGAGTCAACATACCGCAAAGTGAAACCTGTTTTTGACAAACCCATGATCTTTAATGTATGAAAAGTATGCATAGTGCCCATTTTAAGAAAGATTAATTATGTTAGGGGATGACTTGAATATGTAACCAGGTATGAAAAATATCCAGTTATGTGGTGGTCAACTGGGTTGGAGATAACTTCACTCTGTGTAAAGAGGGCTAAGGGTTTTAGGGAAGCAGCCATTGTCCCATCATCTTCTTATTCTTCATCAGCAAAATCTTCTCAGTCTTTCGCATGTTAACATCGGTTATAAGTTGAACCATGTAGATTTATGTGCGCTTTGTGTCTTTGTTATAATTTTTTATGTATTTCATATTTGATCTCAAATTTGAGGATTTGACACAACAAACTAAGTACAAAATTGGATAAGGGCTTAAACACTAGAATTATTACCAAATGGTAAAGACGTCCACTTGAATCTTTTCCTTAGAATATGTTGATTGGCAGTACTTGTTAATAGATATATCTATCAATATAGTTCATCTTCCACGCTTCTTCTGTTTCTTTTAAGGTGGAACTACTTCTAAAGTTCTAATGTTTCATCTTGTCCTATTGCCATATTGCAGGTGTTTCAAATTGTTATGTTTTCAAGAGTCGGTTGCAAGAGTATGCTCAGAAAGTTGGACTTTCTACACCTGTATACGAGACTATTAAGGAAGGACCTTCCCATGAGCCTTCCTTTAAGTCAACGGTAATAGTGAATGATGTTAGATATGATTCTCTGCCTGGATTTTTCAATCGTAAAGCTGCAGAACAGTCAGCGGCTGAGGTTGCTCTGCTGGGACTAGCTGACGCTGGGAAAATAAATGAATGCATTTCTCAGCCAGTGGTAAATTTATTTTATCTTTTAGGTTTTAATTTTTTTTTCTTTTTTCTAATACTATATTTTGTTATAAAAACAAATGAACTCCCCAAAAGCCCAACAACAGAAAATAAAAGCCCATGAAAGATTTTATATTTTTTAACTTTTGTATCTCTTGAGTTGAAACTATTCAGTATGTATGACAAAGGGTAGATCATACTTGACCAAAGGTCGAAGTGTCAATAGGGGGTGGATTTACATGTCACGGATGCCGAGGACAAAAAGGGGATGTCCGAGTGAGATACACATTAACCATGAGAGAGAGAGAGAGAGAGAGAGAGCACGTAGTACCAAGGATGCAATATGGAGCTTGAGCTTGATCTCTCCTAGATTCTGTGCTAGAAAGTTCTAGTGATGTAAGGGTACTACCTCCTATTTGTAGGACATTACATAACTCATAATATATTCTCTGAATATTCCTAAATTTCGTTAGGTTATGCCTACTCATGTGACAGAGCTTATCAATGTGTTAGGATTTACCCAAGGTTCTGAAAAGCGGTTGCGGTCGCTGTAACGGTGGCGGTGACACGGTTGCGGTTGCGGGGTGTAAAGGCCGTAGTGTAACGGTTGCGGTAAACGGAACCGTGAATTTTTTTATTTTTCGCACAATTTGAAAAAAACTTACTGATATGCATATTTTTTTTCCATGATCATATTTATTGGGTTAAAAATAAATATTGATCAATTTTTGTAAATTTTTAAGTATGATCCAATATATTTCATATTTTTAAATCACTATAAACTGAGTTTTTTACATTTTATTTTAATAATAACTTCAAAGGCATCAAAGGGGGGCTATGGAAAACTTTCATCGGCATAAAGAATACTTTGGACAAGGAAAGACATTTGAGCATATATGTAGGACTGAAAGTGTACTTTACCCAATAAGTATGTGTTCTGTCTATAAATAGGACTGAAAGTGTACTTTACCCAATAAGTGTATGTTCAGACCAAAAGACAGATATGTTGGGGGAAGGCGGAAGAGGGGGGATTTTTACTTACATAGTTCCGCTTTGGCAAAATTATAAGTCGAATGACGCTTTCAATTCCATTCAAAATAAAGTACCTAAAAAGCAAAGAAACCAAACAATTACAAGGGGAGAGCGAGAGAGAGCCAAGTCTACATAGAAAGACAAATCACGTTATAAACATAAAAAATAAAAAAAATAAAGTACTTACAAAGAAATATAAAAGTGAAAAGTGATGGAAAAGCAACTTTACAATTCAAAAAAATGTGTAAATAGGCATGTCAAATCGATCTTTGCAAGATAAAAAAAAACTAACATCACAGAGCCCAGTACAACTTGACAGACACAGTGCTTTATGTGCTGACCATGCAAATTATAGTTTATTCTCAGCTAACAATATCATAGTATACCCTTCTTGGTGTAGAGCAAGTACTTAACTTTTGATGTTTTTCTTTTTTCATTAAGTCAAAGGTATTTTGATGCAAAGCATGCTAACATACACATATATCTGATATTCTTAAATTTATTCAGGAAACCAATAAAATCTTGCATAATGAGAATTCTATCCAAATATACCTTGGGGCTGGTGAGGAAATGATGTCAATCTGATTTTTTAGCTTTTTTGTATTGATTCAAAAGTACACTGTACCACACCTTGCTAGCTCTAATCAAATTGGTTTAACTATGTTTCCTTGAGTAATGGCCTTATCAAGGTTTCTATCATTTTTGCAAATAAAAAGTTTAAAATATTTGAGTCACACCATCAAGTAATAAGCCACAGGTAGCATAGATAAATCAATGCATTCATTCAATTCAATGGCTTGAGAAGGCTCTTAAAACTTTACAAAATTGTCATGTAACCATAACCCTAAGTGTGAAGTCAAAGCATTTGATAGGGAACTGGGATTGGCACTTTATTATTTCCATTCTTTGGGATGTAAGGTTCACGGGAAAGGACTTGCCAGAAAATTGATACGGAAAGTGGAAATGCCTAGAAATTTGCCAACAGATTGGGTGAAAAGTGAAAGCATTCTGTTCTCTTTTTAGCAAGTCTCCTTTACTACAGCTCTATCACCCTCTACTTTTTTCGATGGGTAAGTGGTCGGTCCCTCTCTATAATGGTTCTATCTCATTTATATGCTTTAGATTTTAAGGTTTTTGGCTTCTTAGTTAACTTATTAAACTCAAATTTGAGGGTTTCCTCCTATTTGTTTTGAGCTTCCATAACTCAATCTCTAGTCTAGAGAGGGTTCTAGTTCACAAAATCATGTTTCAATAAAGGCAAGTTCATTAAATGGTTGTAACCTCTGTTACATGGACTCTTCTACTTTCCCAGAGTACCCGTGTCTACTAGATATGACATGGGTAAGGATGTAGGATGTGTCTGACACTTGTACCCAATTTAGGCACTCAGATCCTTTAATTTGTGAATACATGAAGAAGAAGAAGAAACTCAAATTTACTCATAAAGCCATATTTTTAGCCTCTTACATGAATTGGATATAGAAATTTCAAATTTTTCCTAAATCCTATTTAATTTCTAATATATTTCTACGTAATTTACATCATCTCATCCGAGAATAATATATAATATGCAATATATACGTGTATATACCTCATACCCATATCCAATTTTGCATACATAATATGTATCCCTAGATCCTAAAATTTAAATTTATGAAGGTATGACGTTTGGATACACACCCACACCTGATACCCGAGTCCATGTAACATAAGTCATCCCAAATACTTCATTATCACCAGTAAACATTTTTTAGGATGCTATCAAGGTTCTGAAAAGCGGTTGCGGTCGTCGTAACGGT